ACTATTTGTATGAAATATTGGGTTTCTAATGATTTAGGAAAGACGTGTGAAAAAGAATAAAAATTTATTCTATTCTTTCCAGAGGGGTTGGGGTGATTTCGGGAATGGGGGTTATTTTAGGAGATTTTTTTTTGTTTTCTTTTTTCTCGGCTTAACTCATATAGTTAATTTTTTTAACATTAATATAATAATAAAAAAACATTTTATTTTGGATAATCAATAAATTCAATAAATTCAGCTTTTGATACTTTTTTTTTGTAATGCTATTATGATCAGGTTATAAGATCTAAAAGATCAGTCTAAAATCAGTTTATAAAATCGTTATTGAAGATGATCTTTAGTCCAATCTCACCCCCCAGATCGATAAAGACCGGATCGAGATCGGATGGATCGAATCGTTAACAACCCTAAACTTGATACAGAACTTAAACTTAATGCGGAAATAACGTTCGCTTCTTTCTGAGGTAGCTTTTTTTGAGAAAGCTTTTTTCACCCTTCCCTCTGAGGAAGCTTTTTTGACTAATAGTCCGTCTTATTTTTTCTATTTTTAGAAACTCCTAAATATACAAATACGTGTTGTAGACATGAAGAAAATTCGGTGATGTTTGTAGGGAGTGATACGAAAAGGTGTGGAGTCCCGTGAAGATGATGAGTGGTGTACATCACCTCATGTGACATTTAACCAAGTGATGAATAATATTAACCGGCCAAAATTATAATAATGTGGGCTGGAGGTGGTATATGTCACTTGAGTACGCTTCACACAAATGTCACGTGATCATAATAAACATCACTGTACACCACTCATCACCTCCACGGGACTCTACACCTTTTCGTATTACCTGTTTGTAGGGCCCATAAAACAGATTAAACCGGAAGGACTTGAAAAGTTCTAACTAATGTCTTTTTTAGATATGGACACATGCACTTTAACTCCTATCAAGAATCAAGCGCGTTCTACAGTCTAATGAAAGACGTCGTCAAAGATGGGCCATACAGTAAAATCCGATTCATTGCGTCGCAATATTTCTCAACTAAAATACAAGTAGTTTTATATGAAGGTAAACTATTTTTTACTCTTCAGATAGTTGATATCGTTTTAATTTTTATTTACTTGGACATTTAGAATACATTTACTAGTAGTGAAGGCAGAAAAAGAAAACTAATCGAAATTGAGAACAATGAAAACAACAGGCAACCTTTAAACCTTCCATATGATCTTTATGAATCTGAGTTAGTATTGTTGACTTAGCGAGTTAATATTGACATGAACTAATAATTTATGTTCGATTTTCTTTTCGGTATTGCACTGTAGACGACAGTTTATTATTGTCATAGACACTCCGAGTGTTAAAAATAAGGGTGAAATTTCAATCTCCGTCCGAAAAGATCGTATCGTCAATATCAAAGGTCATATCTCTCGTGATACTATTCCTGGAAAACAACTTGAGAGTCAAAATCCACTTCTCTTCAGAAAATTCGACATCAAAGTTAATTTACCGAAAAAGTAAGTTATATCACATCTAGTACTTTTTAATTCTAACGTGATTTTTTTTAATAATTAGTATTGACTCCGAGGAGTCAACGAATGTAATCGTTGAAGCTGGTGTAACCACAATAATGATAAAAAAGGAAGTTGCAAAGAATTTGAGGATATCGTAATTACAATTGTTACAGTTAGTGGTGATGGTATAATTCATGAAATAATCAATGGCCTCTTATCACGTGATGATGCGTTTGAA